AGAAGCCTCTTGGCTCCCCTCTAGGTTGACTGGCGCAGTGTCTTCACGCAGCAAGGTCAGGAGCTTCGTTTCGTCGCGTACTACTACTTCCGACTTTATAAGCCCTCACAGTGGAAGGCAAGAGGCAGAACCTCAGTTTTTTTCTGCGCCCCTTCCAACAGAAGAAAAATAAACTTACCATGATCCCACGGATAAATTCGGAGTACACTTGATGTGTGGTGTCTGAGGTGGCCAAAAAGAAAGTGCAAAGTACTCCTACGAGGGCAGCTAAGCCTATCGCACATATTACTAGGTAATTTGCAAAGAAAAAGTCTTCTAAGCAAACGTTTGGATACAAAACAAATGAGGAGATCTACGGAATGGGATTTGCTCCTTTTTGATCCAGGGGCCCGACATGGAATTCTAAATTGAAACCCGGCTCACACCGCTTACACCTCATACAAAAGACAGTCTGACAGACACGATCGAGTCACCGCGAGATCCGTGTTTCGAATGCCGCGTGCCATGTCTCTTCTTCAACTCATTGCCATGCAGCATTCGAAGAATGGACCTCGCGGTGACTCGCGTTCGAATCTGTCCGCAGACCGTCCTTCGTAGGATTTATGAGCAGTGTGACCATGGCTTAACGTTCAGGTATCAATTTCATCATGAAAATCCCGAAAGATTACGTAGACGGGAGTGGTATGTCATAAAGCAAAAGCGACGGGATTGCCATGGTGGGGAAGAACAATCAGAGATGCTTAAAAGAGATGTAAAAAAAATTGCAAGGCGAGTAAAAAAAAAAAAGAATTAAGATTAATTAACCGCGTCTTTATGAGAAAGCAAATGACGTCGCACTAAGTTTCTATTTGTGCACGAGCTCACTAGGTAACCGGACAAAAGCTCACCGGACAAAAGCTCACCGACAAAAGCTCACCTAATTTTTTCGGCTACCAGGGCAAAAGACAGGCTGGGATAAAGTGCGGACACGATGGACATTGCACCATTTTTAGGATAACTGGTGCCCCTTACCGTACAAAGGTGTCGACAGATAAGCCATAACAGGCGAAGCGACGATTTGGGACCAAAATTTAGGTCACCGATATTGAGTGGAGCTGATAACATAAAGCTTGCTTAAAGGAGGACCAGCAGAGATATTCTTCAGCCTGGCGGAAAGTCCTCCTCGCCCTCTTTTTTTCCCTTTCTCTCCTGTCTTGCAGCACGGCGAGGCGGGGGGAAGGGTCCCTTTTTGCGCCGGCTTCTTCTGAGAGGATAAGCCGAGAAAATCCTCATTCTGACCGACGGGCGATAGGTGTGGCAGCAGCGACTTCGTGACTTACGGGTACCTACAGCTCCTATAGCGTACTCTGACCTATTTTTTGGCGCTCGCCAAGCCTAGCCCCTCGGGGGCAGGTTTCACGGAGCTGCAAGGCTGCACCCTCCCAGTCACCGATTTTCAGCTGTCAAATTTGTTTGGCTGTAGCCCGTGTCAAAATAAACGCATACTTGGGAGCTGCGGTGCATCAACACACCCATTGAAGGTACGTTTCATAGATATTCTTGGTTGATCAAGGAGCTCAGAACACATGCGCGAGATGTGGGGACTTCAATATGTGAGGATAACTTACATATTCACAAAACATTCCATCTTCAAAAAAACCGGCTTATTACGCTCAAACCTGCCGCAAATTGCTATGTACCAGGCGCGGGCATCTTGTAGCGGATCTCTGTTTTCGTACAGCGGGCACAAATTATTGGAGAACTTTAGTATGTTTTCAGGCCACGCTATATTTAAGGCCCTGTCACACTGAGGCAACACGACGGCAACAGCAACACAACACGTTGTCCAACAGTCGGGCAACTTGTTGCTCGCTCCCCGTGTTGTCCGACAAAGCTGTCACACCGCGGCAACAGCACGACAATATGGACGACAACTAAAATGTTGCCTCGGTATGACAGCTTTCGGCAACAAAAACAGCAGCAACTTGTGTTGGACAAGGAGTGTTGCCCTGATCGCTGGCTGAGCGAATTTCGGGCCGGCAACACGACAACATAGATAGCTTCGATGGTAGAGCTAGTCCCCTATCAATAAAGTCTTACTCAAACAAAGGCTTGGAAAACGTTATTTAACAATAATTAGGGCTGGCGTGCAGCTAAAATATTTTCGATTAATGTTTTTTGCGGCGCAGTTACGGAAAGCGATTTTCGAAATGGTCACAGCTACGGTCGTGAACGTTCAGACTAGTTTTGAAATTAGATCTCCCGAGAGTCCAGCGCACATTACGGATAGTGAAATAAAATGGCATGCCTACTCACCCACTAATAAAGTATAATAAAAATAATCCAGAAAACCTAAGATTAAAAAATCGAAGCATAAAACGACCACTCTGATCATGATTGTTGATGCTTGGAACTTGGAAACAGCCGCTATCAGACACCTGATTTGTTTTAAAAATACCCAGGACGTTTTGGGCGAATGAAGCGATCACGTAGCAGCGGTAGGCCAGTAGACAGCGTTGAAAAATATTTATTTCACCGATTGTTATGAAGGCCGATGGTGTCGGTGTCGCAGTTTTGAAGCACTGTCAGTTCAGCTCAACACCACGCTACAAAAGACGCTTTGGGGTACTTCCGGTGCTAACGCAATTTTACAGTAGAAATAGGAATTACATGAAAGAACCGGACAGAATCACTTCATACGGTGGCGTAAATCCCGAAAATACATCAGCGATGCCACTTTCCTCGGTTAGGGCTATCTGCTTTGTCAGCGAATGAAGAACATTTCGATAAAATAAAGAGCGAAAAATACTCCCTGTGTCAAGTTTTCTAATCACAGTCACTAGTTGATGTCGTACCGTGGTAATTCCCGGCCCTTCGAACGCACTAGCACTTTGTAGAGTCACATTTCCAGCGATTCCGCGCCGCACACGAACGAAGGTAAACAATCAAGATGGCGGAGTGTTACCCGTGTTGTCCTCGCCGTCAGCGCGGTGTGACAGGGTTGTCGGACAACAAATCGGGCAACACGGTTGCCGGGCGGCAGCAGCATGTTGCCCGACTGTTGTTGTTGCCTCGATGTGACAGGGTCGCCGGCAACACGACTTCCCCGTGTTGCCGGATAGAGTTGTCCAACTGTTGCCTCAGTGTGACAGGGCCTTTAGCGGAAACTCGCGCTGCCACTTCGATGCATTCTCTGAAGCGCGCGTCTAAAGTGGTAGTGGGCCTTTGAAAACGATTTACTAGAATCTCCTGTTGTGTGTCTAACTCGCAGAACATGATGGCCTGCAAAATATATGAAATTCATATTTACACATTCTAACAACCATCTGAGGTGAGAGGGCATTTCTGGTGTGGATGTCAATATCAAAGTTTTAGTGGGTCGCTTTTAGCACTTCGATGACCGTACGGCCCGTACCCCACAACGATATGTAAGCTAGACTCGCTGTGAACATCCTTTATCGAGTGCGGCTATGGAGTGGGAAACGCAATATTGGCGAGTCTAGCGTGTCGTATTATGGTTCAACTTTGCTTGTATTGGTACTATAGCACGGGCCGCGCGCCGCTTTGAAGTATTTGTTGCGTCTCAAATAAAGACTAAAGCAAAAGCAGACAATTTTTTTAATGTGGCACAGAATTGCAATTTAACATTATAAAAACATTTTAGGCGCCTTACACCATACAGTTAGCACGAACAAACTATCGCCGGTCTTTCTCCTCCCTCCTATTTTTTTTTTTTGTTCTTAGAAAGGAATGATGTTTAGAAAGCTGTTAATACGAGTATCCAACCTAAGCGGTAGATTTTAGTGCGAGCCAATACATTGCTGTGGAAAATAGCAAAAAGCGCCGATGTTGTTCGCGCGAACAGTGTCGCGTAATGTACGCGTACCGCTACACAATCAACGGAAACGGAGTAAATCAGCAAAGTTAGGGAAAAAAAAGTGGTGTTATTTTTTTATAGTTGAAAAGTAGTTATTTTTATATAATCAATTCGGTAAGGAGTGCTTCCATTGGGCACCAACCTACGAGGCATCAGTTTGTTCTTGTATACTAAATTCTGCATGGCCCTTGAGTAGAAATGGCAATATTGTGTTCGTGCTTAGCGTGTCACGCACAGTAATAAGACCAGTTCATTGCTTGAACATTTAAACAAGGCCTTTCTTACATCAAATAGACATTTTGCGAGTACGCTCTATTACTGGTGGTTCATGAAATAATCTACGTTGTTTATTTAGAGGAAAGGAAGTGGGGTGGTGAGGGGAGGGGGAATTGAATACAAAAGGCTGCTCAGGGAACCTCAAATTTTGTAAATAGTTCGCTCAACCTATAATCTTCAGTTAATTAAATCACTTTTGCTTTGTTTGTTTCAGAACTTTAAACAGTCGCGCCAAAGGCCAAGATGAGCGAAAAGTCAGATTCCCCTGTTTACTTGATCAAGAAGCGTATGCGAGATGGAACTGAAAAAGTATACGTGTGTAACCGTAGCAATCTCCGACGAAGCCTGAACCTCACTTTTTCTGAAACCTCGGAGATGACTGCTTTTGACGACTTGATAAAGCAAGCCAAAGCCGTTAATAGGTGTGACTCGTTGTCAGCTGTGATAATCAAGGCGCTGCGACGATTTCTTGAAACACGGAATTCAGAAGAACGATCGTCGAATGCTGTGTGCAACACACCGAAGCCGCTGCATCAAGAAGCGGAATCGCGCGCGATCACGCCTGACCCTGTAGGGGATCCATGCCTAGTTGTTTGCGACAAAGCCGCGCTATGGAATGTCATTCAGACTGTAGAGAAGCATAGTTCAGAGTGCAAGGAAAGTCTTATTTTGGAGAAAGTGACCGCCTGGGGTTTCGCATCACGAATACATTGTAAGTGTATTAACCATTCACTGGTGCTCAACACAAGCACGGTTGTCGGTTCCGTCCGGGCTGTAGACTGTTTGCTGACGGTGGCGTATGCCTCCTCTGGAGTTCTGGCGACGCAGTTTGAAAAGTTTTGCAATTTTAGCAAATTGACATACTCCCCTCGCACTGTGGAGAAATTGCTTGTAGATATCGAAGGTGCTGTAGAGTTGCTCAAGCTTGAAAGCCTGGCAGCCGCGCAAGAGGGCGAATCAAGGGCCACCGAGCAACATGACCCCACTTCGACAGCAATTAGTGTCGAGACTGATGCTCGGCACGCTTGCCGGAAGAACTCCACTCACACAGATGTCGTCGCGCTTGGCCAAATGACCCACAAAGTTGTAGGGATTGTTCACGTAAACAAAAAGGATGAACTATCTTCCCAAAAGCACGAAGCGTTCGGTACCAAAAAGCTGTACGAGTACTTCGATTCTAAAAAGATCTCCGTGCTAGATCACGCACACGACCGCAACACCACAGTCAATAAAATAATCAGAGAAAAAAACGGGCCATCCAACTCCAACGACCGCTGGCACGCTGCGAAGAGCCTCAAGAAAGGATTTCTTGCAATTTCATCTGGACCGAAGAGGAACGAGGGCAAGACATGGCACGTGGAGCTGTCCGACAAGTGCCAAGCGGTCCGTAACCACGCGTACTATGCTATGGCCGCTTGTGAGGGGAATCCAACCAAGCTAAGAGATATTTTCATAAACTGCGTAAACCATTTTGAAGGTAAACACGAGAAATGCAGCGAGGAATCAATTTGCAAAGAAAATGGACATGTCCCGACAACGCTGCTCGTGAAAGACCCGCTAGCGTCGGAACTTCTAACAAAATTTCTGAAATCAACAACCATCTACAAGAACGCGGAAGATTACGTAAAGTCGAAGGATACATTCTATGTAGAGTCATTCAATAATACTATGCTAATTTACCTCCAGAAGAGGATTCATTACCAGGACAGAAGCTACAAACTGAGGCAGAGCTTGGCACTCCTAGACTGGAATGAGCATGTTGGGCGAGGCTACACTTCACGTTACTCTATTGAGGACTGTCGTCATCCAGACCGGCAAGGCGGGAAAAGGAAGTACTTCAGGAAGACATACAGGTAGAATATTTTGAAGTGTACAGTGTTGCCATGGAATACTAGTCCTCTATTCTTTTCCTCCAGCTTCGTTCAAAAGATTCGGGAGTTGGTGCTTCGGTCTGCTGCCCTGGGAGATGCCAGCACGGTGAATGACGACTCCCTTGTGAATGACGAGAGTGTATAGCTTATAGGTATGCCTAATGTAAATTTAAACTAGTACCATTGACGTATAATAACAAGCAAGCTTATTTCATTAGAACAGTTGGGCAATTGTTGTGTGTACTTCTACATGTTTGTTTGTTTTTATTTCCCAGCTCGGGACATCACTGGACAAGGGACAGAAAAAGCCATTCCGCGGACTCAAAGATGTACCTGTAATTATTATGCAAATATACAATTTTCATGACAATCTTTTGTCGTTGCCAAATACAGATGACACACAAGAGAAAGTGAACGCTAACCGGTACATACGATTGCGACAGAGCTTCAACCAGGGTGTGATCTTCCGAAGTACAAATTCCGAATAAACGCCCGTCGAGGGGTTCGGAGTATATAAAGTGCTCACCCTTTTACACTTAGCGCATAAATAGATCAGAGCTCAGCAGAATGTACATCACCTCTTGGCTGTGCCTCTCGTGAGTCTTGAACGAGATATTAATAATTTCGATAAAAAAATAGATTAGCTGAAGAGAAAAATTAATTTGATTGCAGTCGAGACTCACAAGAAAAGCACAGCCTTTTACGCACAGTATATTGCGAGTATTTTCTGACGCACCGCGCGTGTTCTGGCATTGGCAATATTTGTTTCGGTGTTATACGTATATTTATCTAAGTTAGGCTCGATATCTGTCTGCTAGTGAGTGATACACTGTTTTTCCGTTCTTGTTTTTTCCAATTTTTTTTTTTTTTTTAACGAACTAAGCTAGCAATTCCTCTGCGCACCATGCCCTATTTATTTTGAAAATAAATGTGCAATATAATTTTGCAATTTATGCACTTGCCTAAGAGGATTGAATATTTGTAGAATTATGCGGCTGGGTTCAAGACGGATCCGCACCAGAAATCGCGCTCTTGTACCGCGGTACCATAACCATGGCTTCTTCAGTTTTGGTTTTTAGCTTGCGTTGTATATATTGTCGTCGGCATTTTGCAAACGTTATTTACGTTTCGGGGCTGTCGTGTTGCGATTTTTTGAGATGAGGAAATTCTGTTCGCATTTGAGGCGGACCAGGAAGTCCGTAATTTTCCCGACGGTACGAGCCTTACTCGGGACCGTGTGTGGTGTTATTTCGCTGCTGACGTCACGTATCCACGCCAACTGTATGACGGGAAAATTATCAGCGCACGGAAAGTGAAAGAAAAGCTTTTCTCCGAATCCGGCCAATAGTAATTTAGGCAGCCGATTGCTGGGAGGGTACCTTTAGAACGCGCGACACTAGAGCGCCGACGTTAGAGCGCGCGACGCGAAGGCTCTGCGACAGTAGCGCGCTTGATACCAGAGCGCATGTCACGAGAGCGTACCCCAGTTGAGCGAACACTGCAAATTGTGGGATGTACCCGCGGCTCCACAGACAGAACTAAATTGTGCGACTCATCGAATCGGAGCATTGGCGATTTTCGATTTATTAAAGATGCCTTTAATAAAAAAATAAAAATAAAAAGGGTACGGCTCCTTCTAACCAATTGTTTGCTGACATAGAAGAGAGAAGGGGGCAAGGGTGTGGCCATATAGGTACCGGGAATGCCTGCAGTTGGGTGGAGCAGCGAGTCTAAGATTTCTTCACGGTGGTGCGGTGCGTCTCTCGGATATACAATAAATGTTTGCTTTTTGCTATATTTGGTCTATTTTTGACAGGCATTTGGACCCCTATCATTTTGGCGGTTATTGGGACGTTTCTCGCATAACTTTAATAGTATTTTGACGTCCATGACCGTAATGGAAAAAGCTCACCGCTAAAAAAGTTCAGTAAAACACTCATCGAAGGAAAGCTCAGCGCAGTTTTATCGGATGCAAAGCTTTCCAGTCTTTTGACGGATACAGGAAAACCTCCCCTTCAAATCTGTGAGATATAACATCAGAAAACTAATGAAGCTATATAGATCAGCTGCATTTTTTTTTTCTGCGGAAATATACGCTACAGATAATCCTTTTTTTTTTTGTTTTTTTTTTCTGTCAGTTTTTTGAAACATTTCTTGGTTTGTTACACGAAAAAAATTCGTCGACTCATTTCGCAATGTCCTTGCCGAATGCCACGGCGTAAATCCCCGCCAATTTCACATAAAACAGGCGATGCCCGAAGAAGTGGTTGGGCCACTCGCGCTTGACTGGTTGTGCGCTCTCGATGTGCTCTCGAGTCGCTCCGCTAACGTCGCAGCGCTTTCGAGTCGTGCGCTCTAACGTTGCGGCGCTCTCATGTCGCGCGAGCTAACGTCGTGGCGCTCTACTGTCGGCGCTCTAATGTCGGCGTTCCTCTAACGTGCGCTCTAGTGTTGTACAGCCCCATTGCTACCTATACCACCGGCTGTTGAAAACGCTCGAGGTCGTGCTCCCTTATTGAACTTTACGCGAGGTTATAATAATAATAGTACCTCTATTTTTTTCCAAGAAAAACAATGTTGAAAAGGTGACACGGAAAGAAAGCTGTAAAAACAGCTTGACGAAACGCGGGTCACCTAAACCAGCAGTCGCGATGCAGGCACCGACTTGTGACTCGGTGGCGAGAGCCTGCTAAGAGCTACACGAGTCAGCGTTACTCACGCGGCTCGCCCCTCACCAGAGTGGAACAAACAATATGGCGAATTTGGTGGGGCAAAACGCTTTCCCGAACCCACGCAGGGACGATGGATAGAGGGCATGCGCACTAGGTGTTTCAAGAAAAAAAGGTGGACTACAGATTTGAGACATTTAACGTGCTAACACTGCACTAATAACTAGGCACAGAAAGAAAGGCGCTGAATCCAGAGACTTTATACACAAATAGTTTACTCCCACATGTGCCCCATGTAGGGAACACCAGGTGGGTTTGGATACAGGCACCGGAAGTGTGCAACTACGCACACTGGCATCAATTCACGCTTAGTATATACTCCTTGGCCGGCTTGTCTCTTCTTCTCCAAGTACCTGGGGTCACGCCAAGCGGCCAGATTTGCCAGGCAGGCCCAGTACATTCTGTAATACTTTTTGCGAACCCCAGGATGCTTGGACGACGGTGCCTGGCCCATCCCCACCCTTACGTGGCCTTGGGTCAGTATACACGGAGCGCAAAAACATTCGGTGCACTCCATCTGGCCGTCCGCTGAACGTTATACACCTATAGGGAGTATAGAGAAACCACGTTAGTTATACAGGCATATAATTCGATTGAAACAAAACTAATTGAGAAAAAAGTTTGCATTGAACGAAGTCATCTGTCTGCCTCCCTACAGCGCTCTGTTGAGCTTGATAAAAAAGGAGGTGCGACTCAATAAACAGTGTACGCAAAGTTGTGGCATGCGGTTTAGAGAGGCTCGTTTTAACGAACGCCGTCTCAGCGACAACAGATTGTCGAATCGCCGCAAAACTCCGCTTAGAGAAAATGGCGACTGCCGGCATGCTGCTCTCATTGTTCCCGATTCATTAGCCCAGCTTGCCGAACCGTTGGCGGCGCCCAATAGAAGCATTCTTTTTCGAATTGCTTGTATAAGAATGCAACCTTTCACCTATTAAAACAAATTCTGTAATAAATCCATTCCCATAATATGCTTGCGCTGATCTTGAAGCGGTATTCGTACATTACGTGGCAGTGTTAGCCCGAACGCGACATTGGCGCTTTTTACTATTTCTGCCCAGCAACATGTATTGTATAGCACTAAGCTCTGCCACTTAGGTTGAATACTCACATTAACAGTTTTCTAAACATCATTCACTTCTAAGAAAACAAAACGAGAATAACCAGCGATAGTTTGTCCTTGCTAACTGTGTGGCAGTATACCTAAAATCTGTTTGCAATGAAAAATTACAAACGCGTTTCATGTTAAAAAAAAATCGCCTACGTTTAGTTTATTCTTTTATTTTGATGGCTCAAAAATACTTTAAAGCGGCAGCACGTGCTATAGCACCGATTTAGCAACGTTGAACTATAACACGACACGCTTCGATAGCCGCACTCGATAAATAATGTTCACAGAAAGGGTATAGCTTATATATTGATGTAGGATACGGTTATCCAAGAGCTAAAACGATCCACTAAAACTTTTTTTAATATCGACACACACAACTGCTGCCTTCTCACCTCATGCGGTTGTTGGGATGTGTAAATATAAATGTCATCTACATTTGTTGGCCATCATATAGTGTGAGTTACGCACACAATAATTTGTGCTCGCTGCTAGAAAACAGAGATCCGCTACAAGATGCCCGCGCCTGGTACATAGTTCTGTCTTCCAGCGATCCCAATTGAGGCAGGTTTGAGCGTAATAAGCCTGTCTCTTGAAGATGGAATGTTTTGTGAATATGTCAGTCAACATCACATATTGAAGTCACCACATCTCGCGCATGTGTTCTAAGCTCCTTGATCAACCGAGAATATCTACGAAACGTACCTTCAATGGGTGTGGGGATGCACCGCAGCTCCGAAGTATGTTTCCTTTGCCACGGGCTACAGCCAAACAACCTCGACAGCTCAAATTCAGTGTCTGGAAGGGCGCAGCCTTGCAGCTCCGTGAACCGTACGCCCGAGGGGCTATACTCCGTTCCACCTTCAGTCCGAGCGCAGTGGACGCCACGAGCCATCCCAGCCGATCCAGCGCCGGGAGAAAGTCGCGTGACCTGCCGGTAAGGCGGGGCGACGCAGGGAGCTCAAGGTCGCATGACACTCCCTCAACGCCGCATTGGCTGGGATGGCTCCTAGCGTCCGCTGTGCTCGGACGGAAGGTGATTGGCGAGCGCCAAAAAATAGGGCAGATTACGCGATAAGAGCTGAAGCTACCCGTAAGTCACGAGGTCGCTGCTGCCAAACCCATCGCCCGTCTCTCACAATGGGGATTTTCTCGGCTTATCCTCTCAGAAGAAGCCGGCGCAAAAAGGGACCCTTCCCCCCGCCTCGCCGTGCTGCAAGACAGGAGAGAAAGGGAAAAAAAGAGGGCGAGGAGGACTTTCCGCCAGGCTGAAGAATATCTCTGCTGGTCCTCCTTTAACTTAAGGTA